TGGTTTCAAGGGATGTAAAGGTTGATGAGAGGTCAATGTGGAATTAAGAGGAGAATAAAATTCAGGATGATACACGGCCACAAGAAAGAGAGCAAGTTGCTGACCAAGTTGATGGGGCAGATTCTGATACAGAAGAAGAAGAAGTATCAGTAAGAGGAACCAGACCTTTTGTAGAGATTTATGGGAGATGCAATATTGCAATGCTTGAACTAGCATCCTATTGTGAAGCAGCCAAGTTAGAGGAATGGAGGATTGCTATGTAGGAAAAGTTGTCCATGATAGAAAAGAATGGAACATGGCAGCTTGTGGACAGACCTGCTGAGAGAAAGGTGATCCAGGTAAAGTGGATCTTCAAGAAAAAATTGAACCCTGATGGTTCAGTTTTGCAGCACAAAGCTAGGTTAGTTGTGAAAGGCTTTGCAGAACAACATGTTGTAGACTTTCAAGACACATTTGAACATGTTGCTAGGCATGAACAATCAGGTTAGTCCTTACTTTGGCAGCTCAATTCAAGTGGAAAGTTTATCAAATGGATGTCAAGTCAGCCTTCTTGAATGGTTGGCTGGATGAAGAGATCTTTGTTGAACAACCTGAGGGACATGACGTCAAGGGGAAAGAAGACAAGGTCTATTTGTTGAGAAAGGCCTTATATGACCTAAAACAAGCTCCAAAAGCTTAGTACAGCATAATCAATGACTACTTGGTTAGCCTAGGTTATGCAAGGAGTCCAAATGGGCATACTTTGTATGTGAAGAAAGTCAATGAAGATGTGATCATAGTTTCCTTGTATGTAGATGATTTGCTGGTGACAAGAAACAATGTTATTCAAGTTTAAGAGTTTAAGAAGGCAATGCACAAAGAGTTTGAGATGACTGACTTGGGAGAGATGACCTATTTTCTTAGAATGGAAATCTATCAATCTCAAGATGGCATTTTTATATGTCAAAGGAGATATGCTAATGAGATGTTGGAGAAGTTTGGGATGGATGAATGTAAGTCGGTTGGCACACCTTTGGTGCAAAATCAAAGGTTGTGCAAAGAGGATGGAGCAACCCCGATGGATGAAACAAATTATAAAAGGTTGATTGGGAGTTGCTATATTTAACAACAACAAGACTTGATCTAATGTTTGCCACTAGTCTCTTATCAAGATTTATGAGTAAACCAAGTGAGTAGCATCTTAAAGCAGCCAAGAAAGTGCTGAGGTTTATTAGAGGAACTACAAATCATGGAATCTAGTTTAGGAAATCTGAAAGTTTCAAATTGGTAGGCTATGCAGACAGTGATTGGGGAGGCTCTTGTGATGACATGCGAAGCACATCATGCTATGTTTTCCTGCTGAATTATGGAGCTTTTTGTTGGTCTTCGAAGAAGCAAGAAATAGTGGCTCAACCCACTGCAGAGGCTGAATACATATCAGCTGCTGCTATAGTAAATCAAGCCATATGGTTAAGGAATATGCTGAATGATATGGAGGTAAAACAGTGTGAGCCTACCAAATTTTTTTGTGATAATCAATCGGCTGTTGCTATGGCAAAGAATCCAGTCATGCATGGTCGAACTAAGCACATAAAAATCAAGTTTCATGCAGTGAGGGAGGCTGAGCAATGCAGGGAAATCAGATTGACTCACTGTAGGGGAGAAGTTTAATTGGCTGACATCTTTACAAAGTCTTTATGTAAGTCCAAGTTTTAAGATCTTAAACTTAAACTTGGTGTCTCAAGCAAAAATATCAAGGAGGAGTGTTCAAAGTAGTGATATTTTGCTTGAAACAAATATTTTGATTATGCTGGAGCTGGAAACTAGTCTGGAGCAGTTCATCATAGCTGGTCTGTAGGCATGCCGAAGTGATAGTTTTTGGTGAATTCAACTTGCATTTGGCTACCAACTTTATATCAACTTAATGTGATGTAATTAGAGTTGCTAAGGATGCATGGTTAAGATGTTATTTTGGATTAAAATATGTTTTATGTTAGGTACAACAGTAAGTCTGCACGTATAAAACTCTGTTGTATTTTTTGTTGAATATATGAAAAATACAAGTCCTTCTTCTCTCTTATCTTTTCCTTCCTTTTTCTCTCCTGTATAACCATCCCTACATGCTCAAATAACCAACATTTAGCATATCAACTGTAGTGAAGAAATTCAAGGACAAGCCTAATGAATCAATCATGTTGAGATTTTCATACCCTTCTGGTAATCCTGCTTCTACACATGGAAACTGAAGTTCAATTAATCGTATTTGGAGTCCGGATTCTATGGCACGACCAAGGGATGATTCGAATCTATCTGCATTAAGAGGTGTGGTGATTATGGTTATAATAACGCCACGTTAAACTCTCTTGGCATTGTCAAGAAAGCATTAGATCGTTTCACTTTTTGGGCGGGGTTAGAAGCAAACCCCTCAAAAAGCAACATTGTCTTCTCCGGGGTGAGTGAGCAGAGCAAACAAACTCTTTTGTCGATCCTTGGGTATCAAGAAGGAAAGCTACCAATGAAGTATTTAGGTGTCCCTCTCATAACCAAAAAACTTTCCCTTGTTGATTGCAAACCTTTGGTGGACAAAATCTTGGCTCGCATTCAATCTTGGCAGAGCAAATTCCTCTCCTATGTTGGTCGGCTAATTTTCATTAAAGCCATTCTTTTTAGCATTCAAGTTTATTGGTCATCTACTTTCGTGCTCCCTTAAAAGATCCTCAATGAAATTGATGCTAAGTTAAGGGCTTTCCTATGGTCTGGGAGTGACATGAAAACCTCAAAGGCCAAAGTTGGATGGGAAGAGGTCTGTGTCCCTATTGAAGAAGGTGGGTTGGGGATTGTGAGAGCTAAAGATTGGAATAAGGCAGCCATGATAAGACACGTTTGGAATCTTAATCAATTACGTAGTGGCTTCAGATGGGTTGAGTGGATCAAAGCAACCTACTTGGCAAGGAAGAGCTTTTGGGAGATTCCTATACCTTCGGACGCTTCTTGGGCTTGGAGGAGCATTTTGTAGCTTAGAAGGGAAGTTAGAGAGCACATCAAAGCCATCATCGAAAACGGTCAAGCAACTTATGTTTGGCATGATAATTGGCACCCAAGAGGCCCTCTCAAGGATAGTTATGGTAGCCACATTGTGTATGATTCAAGGCTACATCATCTTGCTAAGGTGTGTGAGATTTAGGATTGGACAAGGTGGAGATGGCCAACGGCTAATTCTTGGGCTTTGATGGACATGAAGGATTCTATCAACTTTGATCCAAATGAGGGTGAGGACATGGTTGTTTGGAAGCCTAATACATCTGGTAAGTTCTCTATAAAATCAGCTTGGGAGGTTACTCGTGTGCACCAACACCGAGTGGAGTGGCATCACCTTGTATGGTTCCCAAAAGCTATTCCACGACACTCCATGATCATGTGGATGGCATGTAAGGATCGACTTCAGACCAGGGACAAACTGATAAGGTATGGAATAGCTTCTAGCAATGCGTGTTGTTTTTGTAATCATGGGCAACAAACGATCGATCATCTCTTTTTTGCTTCCCCTTTCACCCAAAGGATTTGGAACCGAATCCTTGAGCTCTCTTCTCTTGGGTATGTCACCCGCCCTTAGAACGATTATGTTAAGCACATAGCTAGTAGGTGGAGAAAGAATAAGCTAAAGTTCTCTATAGGGAAGCTAAGTTTGGGAGCCACCGTTTACTCTATTGGGAGAGAGAGGAATAGTCAGATTTTTGGTGGGGAATGCAAGGATGCACATACTCTCTACAACTCCATAAAGAATGTGGTGAGGGAGAGAGCTATGGACCTTAGCAAGATCATAAAGAATACCTACAATAAAAGACTTGTCGAGAAATGGGGTCTCCCCATTTCTATTTTTAAAACATCCCATAGGAGCTAATTATATGGTTAGTTGTTATGTGATGGGTTTTTTGTCGTGTAAAAGGATTTGGTTATATGACATCTTGGCGGGTGGTTGTGCTAGAAGAGGCTACTTTGACAATTGGAAGACTTGGGGTGTTGATCTAGTGCTTTGTCTTTGTGTCATTAATGGGCCCTACTTGTTAATGTCCATGTTTATGGAATTCTTCTTGTTAATGCTTATGCATATGGGTTTTGTATTCTGATACTTTTGAACCTAACCCAGGGTATGTCCTGTGGTAGGTGGGATTCATTGTATTCTTTAATTTCCGCTTGGTTCCATTCCTTTGACAAGAGGAATGGGAAAAATAGAAGATTAGGGGTAGACTTAGATAGTATCATTCCTTTGCTTCTAACCTAGGCTTTTCTTGAGGTAGGTTGGCCGACTTTTAGGCTTTTTGTACATTCTTTCCCCTTTCTATAAAAGCTTACTTACCCAAAAAAAAATAACGCCACGCTGCGCCAGCAGCTGGCGATGTCTATCATTGGGATCATATGTCCTTGTGCCATGAAAGGAAACAAAACAAAGTGAAGCTGGTTTTCTTGTAATGCCATGGCAACTGAAGATGCATCGAGATTTGAGAGTTCAGTTTTGTAATATAAAATGTTGCAACTTATTATAAATTGGCTCTTTGTGGCGCTTGTGATGCAAGTGCATACATATGAATTTATGTTGGTGTATGCATCATGAATATGTGGTTCATATACAGTAAGAAACTAGTTGGAATATTGAAGATAATTAATATTGTACTTTCTTTAAGAGATTTAAATATGGAATTTTGTCTGTCTATTCACATATCTCTTTCTCAATGAGTTGTACTTGCATATCAAGTGTGCATACCTACAAACCATAGAAGGAAAGAAAGTAATCTGAGGTGAAGAATTAATGGACCACAATAGATGAGGATTTGAATATTGTTGAAAATGATGATCTTTTCAATAATCAGAAAACTCCAATAGAGATATTAAAAAATAATTATAACTAAAATAAATAAAGAATCAGTTTCTTCTACTTCACACTAATATATAATCAATCAGATATATATATATATATATATAGCTAGTAAAGTTTACACTCATAGTATCAAAGATGAGCTGTTTTCATTGATAGAATGGAATCATGACAATCTGTACTCATGCTCAAGGAAGATTTCACAAATAATTTATATGGGTAACTGAAAAGTAAGCTGTAATATAAGAGCAAAAAGTATCCGTATAAAATAGAGAGAACGTTATCTCAAACATTTTAGTCATTGTTACAACAATATGCTTGTTGCATTATATCTTGGATAAAGAGTTTCATGTTGATGTAAGAAGATCCCCCTTCTTCTATTGCTCTCTTTGCCATCTCTCCGAATTCCTTGGCTCTTCTTCTTCTATCATTTCTTTCCTCCCCTTCATCCATGAGTATATTTACAGCTTTTTCAATATCTTCTTTCTTTACCAGCACCCCAATCTCCTCTTCCTTCCCCAAGGTTAGTGGAACTTCAACCCCAATCCTCACACCAATCTTTAGAACCTGCACAATTAACTTCTCATTGCAAAACTGGTCTGCAAAAAGTGGCCATGTAACCATTGGCACCCCGGCAGATATCCCTTCTGTTAAAGAATTCCAGCCGCAATGTGTTAAGAACCCTCCAATGGCAGGATGTGTTAATATCAGTATCTGCGGAGCCCAACCCTTTATCAGAAGGCCTTTCCCTTTTATTCTTTCCTCAAACTTCTCTTCTAAAAGCCACTTCTCTAACCCTCTTGATTTGATTCCTTCCCTTATAACCCAAATGAAAGGTTTTTTCGATGCTTCTAAGCCCAAGCCAAGATCTATCAGTTGTGCAGTTGTTAAATTACAAAGACTTCCTAGACAAACATAGATGACAGAGCTTGGTTGCCAAGAATCAAGCCACTTTAAACACTCAGATTCATCAACTGACGCCTTGTTGCCTCTCTCAACCTTGTCGATGTTGTCTTTATTGCATACTGAAACAGGGCCAATACACCAGACTTTTCCATTTTTTGCTTTCTTGTATTCTTTAACATACGCTGACTCTAATTCCTCAAACGTATTAAGAACAACCCCGTACGACGCCATTTCAGCTGCTGAAACTTTTTCACTGAAATCTTTCACTCGTAAAGCTTCTGGTAGTTGAACTTTAGTTATTTCAATCTTATCAGGCAAGCCAGGCACCACAAAGAATTCATTGTCAGAGGTAATATTCTCTTGAACCTTGGATATGCGCAAGTTGTAAATGCACAAGAGGCAGAAGCAAGAAAATCCATGGAAAGTAATCCTTGGAACATTGAACCTGCTGGCGATGTTTGTTGTCCATGGGTAGCACATGTCGGAAATTATGCAGCTTGGCCGAGGTGTTAGCTCTTTGAACAAATTTTCAAACGGCCGTTCAAGCATGCCAGTTGCATTGAAGAAGTTGATGGCCAAGTCAATTGTCGGAATCAGGTCAAAATTTTCACAACCTTCCGGTAATCCAGCTTCTTGACATGGAAACGGGAGCTCAATTAAATGTATTTGTAGCCCGGATTGTATGGCACGAGCAAGAAATGTTTTGAATCGAGCAGCATTAATTGGGGTGGTGACAATGGTAATAGATGCACCTTGCCGTGCCAACAATTTAGCAATGTCTACCATGGGAATTATATGGCCTTGAGCCAGAAAAGGCAACAAGATAAAGTGAAGCCTAGTGGCTTGGGAACCCATGTTTCTATTCAGTAGAGATGAGAGGATTATGGCCTAGGTTGGGTTCTCTCCTCTTGTTAATATAAAAAGTTTCAGAGGTATATTCCTGGTGCTATAACGTGGCTCTACATAAGCATGGTTGGTTTATCCAGCTATAACGTGGCTCAGAGAAGAGGCAGAACAGCAAACTTGTGTGGATAACGTTCTTCCACTTGTGGTGCAGATTATAACTTATTTGTCTATTGCTTCCCATTTGTCTTCCTCATCTTAGTTTTATATTCAAATTAACTGTCGCAATAACAATTATTGAAGATGTAATGTGATACCCAATTTGGATTGTCTGTAAAACTGGAAAATAAAAGAACATTCCAGGGATAAGAATTTCTTTTTAAAGAGAAGACTACAATAAATTGGATTGTATGTAAAACTGGAAAACTAAAGAACATGGGATAAGTAAGAATTTCTTTTTCAAGAAAAGATTAATAATAAAAATGGAAACTGGATGGTATAAAGAAAAAAAGAGAATTTATCGTATTGAAATGTGAAGGGAGAAATTATAAATATGTTATTTCTAAACATTATTCTAGGTAAGGATTTGATCTATTATCTAAAGATATATATATATATATATAATTTTTTTTTTTTTGCGGGCGATTTTGAAAAGTTAGAGTTGGACGTTAGATGATGTGAAAATTATTATGTTCACAAGAGAAACTGGAGTCTTAGGATAAGGTTAGAAGTGGTAGACATTGTGATTTGAGTTAAAAGAGTGTTGATGCAAAAATACGCCAACTAGAGCAATCCGATAGACCATGATGGGATCGAAACTGTTGTGTGTGTGATTACAGGTAACCAGTAATGAATAAACGGAAAATGCAGTAAAGTAAATGACAAGAAAGTTTTTAAAGTGGTTCGGCAAATTATACTCTTGAGCCTACGTCCACTGTTCTTGTATTTGCTATGAGAGCTTACAATAACAATCCTAGAATAATTTGCTAAAACCTTTCTTGTTGGAGGGGATTTATATACAGATTTTGTACAAAGGAAAGAGCGAAAATAAAGGGATTACAAATAAGTTTGAAATGCAACTTCGATATTCTTACGATTGTGTGTTATGATTGTGCAAAGATTGCTGCCAATCTGATCCTTTCCGAGATATCTGGGATCTGAAGTTATCTGTGAATTGGTTGAACAACTATAAGGATTGGTTGCAACTACCTTATGCTAGGTCGAGCTACAACTCGACAAGCTTATGTTGGGTTGTGCAATCGGTTGAGTCGAGCTGGTTCTGGATCGAGCTATAACCTCGCAATTCCCCGAGCTTGAAGGAAAAATCACACACAACATCTGCCCCCTAGTGTTCGGTGCTTGTTTCGAGCTTCAAAGACTATTACTCGATTTGATATCAAGCTTGGTATTCATCAATAGGGCAATGAATGAATATTCAGTCGAGCTTCATGAGTCGAAATCAACCCCAGTCGATGTACTCAACACTTGACCTTTTCTCTTCTGTGATGTTCTTAACAAACTTGGAATTTGAAGAGAAAGGGTATTTGTGTAAATTCCACGCGGTCATATTGCATTAAAAGTGGCAGCCTTTGGCAATTACTTTTCATCGTGCGTGGACAACTTAGTTGAGGCGATGTGCGACGGCAGTTATGATTATGGCAGTCTGACCATTGATCGCCCCTCATGGATGATTGACACGTGGCCACGTCCAGAGGCAGAGATTGTTTGACAAATGGAGGGTTGGGATTCACTGTAGATCAACGGCTACGATCTAACTCTGCCGTTTTGTCTCCCATGCAAGCCACTATAAAAATGGGCGAACTTGTTAGAAAGCCTTCACATTTTGCAAAAGTTCCCAGGCATTTTCGCTTACTCCATCGCTGCCCCTTTATCTTCACGGTGCTTTTCCAACAAGTTCATCTCATCTTTCAGTTCGGTATGATTTCTTTTCCCTTATTTACTTATTTTTACAACTTTTCATGGTTGAGGGTGGCCTTGTCGTGGCCACATTAAGCTTTCTAGGGTTTTTAAGTGTGTCTCCGGCGATCCTAGGTTTAAGAAGGGTTTGTGGAGGCGGCTGCCGGAATCCTAGTTGGTCGTATATATCTGTTGTCCGACTCGAGCTGCCTTAGGTGCCTAAACTGAAAGCAAAGTGTGGATTAGTCGTCCAGTTTTTCAAGCTCTAACACATGTTCGCTTTTGTTTCAGGTACCTAGAGGCAAGCTATCATCATGTCTTCATTAAATAGCCACACAATTGATCGCATGTTCGACTTCCTCATGGGCTCAGTAGTCCTTGGTGGCATACTCCCTAAGGCTTCTGAGGATATCGTTGTACAGAGTTCGAACCCTGATGCAGTAGGCTCTTCTAACAATGCCTCTACGGAGGTTGCTCAGCCAAAGAAGTCTCCAGCTCATAGGTCGCGCAAAGAACCACAATCCTCGATTGAGGTTGAGGATTTGAGGAGCATAAATGAGACTTATATGCCTCAACTTAACTTAAGGGTTCTGGGAGGCTTCTGCCGAAAGAATCCCCCCACAAGCTGCGTGGCAGTTTTTGAGTCCCTTTTGAGGTGCGCGATGTATATCCCCACCCACCATTTCATCGATAGCATTTTGAGACGGTTCAACAACTCCCCTCTCTAGCTATCTGCAAATTTGTACATTATAATTATAGGTTTGTACATAGTATACCAGATAGCTGAGCTGGGCAAGCCATCTGTTGAGGAGCTCTTTCATTTGTATAGATTCAAGAAAGGTCAAGACCGGACGTACTACCTCTCCGAGGCTAAGAAGGTACATTTTAATAGTCTAGTCAACGTTCCAAAGAAGGTCCTACATTAGGACTCTCAATTTTTCTTTCATGAGGCCAGAGAGACCATCATTTTTGCTTTGAAAGCTATAGACTTTGACCTCTAGTGTGTGAAAAAAGTGTTTTCAAGCTCGACGGTTAAGCTGATTGAATTTCTTTGTTTGCAGTAAACATCGAGCAGAATTTTATCCCCGTGGAGAGTTTACAGAGGCTTCAGCAATCTCCCCGACAGGAAACGCAATGTCAATGAGATTATCTCGCTTCCTCGGTTGAGGGCATATGGCTTTTCAGCGGACAACACCAATTTCAACACCACCCTTGAAAAAGGTAAAAGTGTTTACTTGCTCACGTGCTTTTTTTTTTTTTTTTTTTTTTTGTGTAGGTCACTAATTGTTTGCTTCTCCTTTGGCAGAAATGTGGGCCCAAGAAACTGAAGGGCTTGAAGAAGAAAGCGATGGCTTTTGGGGCTGCCAAGAAGCTGTCGATCGCTCCGGTGAAGAAGCAGCCTACCGATGCTGTTGGAATGGTCGCGCAGGGTGCCTCGTATCCAGCCTTTAAGCGAAGCAGTGGCGAGCTTGGGGAAGGCCCAAGTGCCAAGAAGCTTGTGACTACCTCCAAGGCAGTCAGAACATCCAAGCCACCTAGAGGCTCAGGGAAACAGAATGTGCTTGAGCAACATGACAACTCGGGCAAGAAAAAGATGTCGGAGTAGCATGAAGGCTCTAGCAAGAAGAAGTCGACTAAGCCTTAGAGGGGCTTTGGAAAACAGAGGTTGCTGAGCAACAAAGTGGCTCGAGCAAGGAGGTCGCAATGAAAGCTAGCGGCCCAAAGAAATCTGCAACCAAGAACTTGACCAAGAAGAAGTCCATTCCCATAGGCGTAGCTATTATTCCCATGGGAAGTAAATAAAGTTTGCCTCAGCAAGGAGGCACAATGACGGATGAGGCAGCTTGAGCTATGCTCGATGTGATAATTGACTAGCTCCCTAAACACATCAACATCAGGGCCTCGACGGTCAAGGACACTGTCACACCGCGGACCTATGTGGGCATTAGGGATTCGTCTACTCTACAGCTATTGGCTTGGGTATCCAGCTACGTGACAAAGGTATTAGCAGTTCAACCCCCTCTCCTTTTTTTATATACGTTTTTCTTTATTCCTCACTGACTTTCATTTTTCTTTTAGGCCTGTATGGCGAGTAGGCTTTTCTATGATGAGTGTTACCTAACATTGATTGGCACTCACCAAGGGTGGCAGGAAGCAGATATGCTCAAGGAAGATGCCTTGGCTAGGGCCAAGGTGACAGAGAGAGAGAATGACTCAAAATAGGCCAAGCTTGAGTAGCTTAAAGAGGAAATGGCGGCCTTCGGGGCCAAGGAAAGGAAATTCCTTGAAAAAATTTCAGCAATTGAGGCTCCCGGTCAAAGGCCGAAGCCAAAGTAATCGAGATTGAGAAGAGTTTAGCACAACAGTGAGGTGCTAACAATAAGCTAAACTCCGAGCTCACCTCGGCTAAAAAAACTGCCTCAGATTGGGAGGCAAAGTTTAAATAAGTCTCACTTAATCTTGCCCGAGAGGCGGAAGGTCGACAAAAGGCTGAGGTTGAAACTGAGAAACTTAGGCTTGAAGTCGGGGAGCTGAACAAGGCCATCACAAACCGAGCTTGGGAGACATTGGTCTTCCTTATACAGAAGTTGTAGGAAGCTCATCTCTCAACCGACTTCTCCTTTCTTCCGCAGGCTTATCAGAAGGAGGTCGACTAGATGAGAACCAAGGCTCAAGGTATGGCCTATGTTTACTCGAATGACTCCAAGCCCAATAGTAAGGGCGAGGAGGAGGGCGATGAGGGAAAGGAGGATGCAGGTGTTAAGTAGAAGGTCGAGGATCCAGTTCCCTTGGCTACACTCCCACCTATTATTGCCGACCTTCCTCCAGTCAAGGCTCCGAAAGACATCCCAGCTCCTAACCATGAAGAGGCTATAAAGACTCCTACCGTCGACGATCCCTTTGCCTAGATTGGCGACGATGCCCCCACTCCTCCAACTACTTACAATTAATGAAGGACATTTTTTGCATATATCTGTCGAGCAATTTTTAATTTCTACAGAGTCGCTTTGATCGTCTTAATCAGACTTATTATGAACATTTCAAATTTGCTCCAAGTTACACATAGCTTTCTTTTTGAAGAACTTTTCAAATGCATATAAGAAAATCTTGTGCGACAACTCTGAGTTTGGACTAGTTCTTCGTCTTGAGTTTTAGCCGCTGACTTATGATCGATTTTCCTTCGATGTATTTTACTTGAATTTTCCAAGTGTAACTTTGTCGATCCGAGGAGTTTCGCCCTTAGTGAGTTG